CACAGACACCCACAGACACCCACACACACACAGACACCGACAGACACCCACAGACACCCACAGACCCACACAGACATCCACACACACACCCACAGACACCCACACAGACACCCACAGACACCCACACAGACACCCACAGACACCCACACAGACACCCACACAGACACCCACAGACACCCACAGACCCACACAGACATCCACACACACACCCACAGACACCCACACAGACACCCACAGACACCCACACAGACACCCACAGACACCCACAGACACCCACACAGACACACACAGACACCCACAGACACCCACACAGACACCCACAGACACCCACACAGACACCCACAGACACCCACACAGACACCCATAGACCCACACAGACACCCACAGACACCCATAGACCCACACAGACACACACAGACACCCACAGACCCACACAGACACCGACAGACACCCACAGACACCCACAGACCCACAGACACCCACACAGACACCCACACAGACACCCACAGACACCCACAGACACCCACAGACACACAGACACCCACACAGACACCCACAGACACACAGACACCCACAGACACACAGACACTCACAGACACCCACACACACACAGACACCCACAGACACCCACAGACACACACAGACACCCATAGACCCACACAGACACCCACAGACACCCACAGACCCACACAGACACCCACAGACACACACAGACACCCATAGACCCACACAGACACCCACAGACACACACAAAGATCCCCCATATAGCCTGTAACAGACTGTAGGGGCAAGTGCTGTTAGCGAGCACCTATGAAGGCCAGAACGGTACACGAGGGGGTGGGTGGCCAGCACCACGCCCGACCGCCTTTGTCTCCCTAGTGGCGATGTTTACACACCGCACCAGGTACTCATTTGAGGCTGAGTCGACCTAGGGGAGGCCCGGGACCGGTTCACATAATCGTCACTGGTGTTGGCCGTGAGCAGGAATCGAACCCGGGTCGCCAGGTTCATAGCGCAGCGTAGCGCTAACCGCTACACCACAGACACCCACAGACACCCACAGACCCACACAGACACCCACACAGACACCCACAGACACCCATAGACAAACAGACACCCACAGACCCACACAGACACCCACAGACACCCACAGACACCCATAGACACCCACAGACACCCACAGACACACAGACACCCACAGACGCACACAGACACACACAGACACCGACAGACACCCACAGACACCCACAGACACCCACAGACCCACAGACACCCACAGACACCCACACAGACACCCACACAGACACCCATAGACCCACACAGACACCCATAGACCCACACAGACACACACAGACACCCACAGACACCCACAGACCCACAGACACCCACACAGACACCCACAGACCCACACAGACACCCACAGACACCCACAGACACCCACACAGACACCCACACAGACACCCACAGACACCCACACAGACACCCACACAGACACCCATAGACCCACACAGACACCCATAGACCCACACAGACACACACAGACACCCACAGACACCCACAGACCCACAGACACCCACAGACACCCACACAGACACCCACACAGACACCCACAGACGCAACGTTAACACCCACCCGGGATCCCTGTCCAGCATGGCGGGGAGACAGGCGGGGTGGTGACCTGGGGTGCTGCAGGAAGGTGTTGGTGGTTGTTGTTGTTGTTGAGGATGCAGCTTGTGAAGTCAGCAAGCTCGCAAGCCTTCCCTGAAGGACGGAGGAGCGGGGGCGAGAGAGAGAGGAGGACATTTCGCTTTGACGTCACACCCCGCTGCGGTAAAACATTTCACGCGGTGGGTCGCCACCCCTGCCACTCCACAGAACCGCCGAGTGGTGGTGGTGGTGGTGGAGGTGGTGGTGGTGGTGGTGGCGGTGGTGGTGGTGGCGGTGGTGGTGGCGGTGGTGGTGGTGGGGGTGGTGGTGGTGGTGGTGGTGGTGGGGGTGGTGGCGGTGGTGGCGGTGGTGGTGGCGGTGGTGGTGGTGGGGGTGGTGGCGGTGGTGGGGGTGGTGGGGGGGGTGGCGGTGGTGGTGGTGGGGGTGGTGGTGGTGGTGGTGATGGGGGTGGTGGTGGCGGTGGTGGCGGTGGTGGTGGCGGTGGTGGTGGTGGGGGTGGTGGCGGTGGTGGGGGTGGTGGCGGTGGTGGTGGTGGGGGTGGCGGTGGTGGTGGGGGTGGTGGTGGTGGGGGTGGTGGTGGGGGTGGTGGCGCCAGTGGTGGCGGTCAACCCGTGCCCCGCTCACTCACCCAGCCACTCACCCAGCCACTCACCCACTCATCCAGCCACTCACTCAGCCACTCGCACACTCACCCAGCCACTCACCCACTCACCCAGTCACTCGCTCACTCACCTAGCCACTCGCCCACTCACCCAGCCACTCGCCCACTCACTCAGCCACTCATCCAGCCACTCGCACACTCACCCAGCCACTCACCCAGCCACTCGCCCACTCACCCAGCCACTCGTCCACTCACCCAGCCACTCGCCCACTCACCCAGCAACTCGTCCACTCACCCAGCCACTCGTCCACTCACCCAGCCACTCGCTCACTCACCCAGCCACTCGTCCACTCACCCAGCCACTCGCCCACTCACCCAGCCACTCGTCCACTCACCCAGCCACTCGTCCACTCACCCAGCCACTCACTCACTCACTCAGCCACTCACTCACTCATCCACTCACTCACTCAGCCACTCACTCACTCAGCCACTCGCCCACTCACTCAGCCACTCGCTCACTCACTCAGCCACTCGCTCACTCAGCCACTCGCTCACTTACTCAGCCACTCACTCAGCTACTCGCTCACTCAGCCACTCACTCACTCAGCCACTAGCTCGCTCACTCAGCCACTCGCTCACTCAGCCACTCACTCACTCAGCCACTCACTCAGCCACTCACTCAGCCACTCACTCGCTCAGCCGCTCACACAGCCACTCGCTCGCTCACTCACTCACCTCCTCACTCACTCACCCGCAGACAAAGACAAAGCTCCCCCGGGTAGCCCACACACACAGGGCTGCAGGGGCAAGTGCCGTTAGTAGTAGCGAGTGGTAGCAGCGGCTCCTGTGAAAGCTACCCGCACTGTGACACACAGAGCGGGATGGGTGGCCAGCACCACCACGCCCGGCCGCCTTTGTCTCCCCCAGTATCACACAGACACGAACTCACCCATTCACTCACCCAGCCGCTCGCTCAGCCACTCACTCAGCCGCTCGCTCAGCCACTCACTCAATTGACTCACTCAGCCACTCACTCAATTGACTCACTCAGCCACTCACTCAATTGACTCACCCATTCACTCACCCATTCACTCACTCAGCCACTCACTCAGCCGCTCACTCAGCCGCTCACTCAGCTGCTCACTCACTCAGCCACTCGTTCACTCACTCAGCCACTCACTCGCTCAGCCACTCGTTCACTCACACAGCCACTCACTCACTCAGCCGCTCACCCAGCCACTCGCTCGCTCACTCGGCCACTCGCTCACTCAGCCACTCACTCACCCAGCCACTCGTCCACTCACCCAGCCACTCGTCCACTCACTCAGCCACTCACTCACTCAGCCACCCACTCACTCAGCCACTCACTCACTCAGCCACTCACTCACTCAGCCACTCACTCACTCAGCCGCTCACCCAGCCACTCGCTCACTCACTCACCTCCTCACTCACTCACCCGCAGACAAAGACAAAGCTCCCCCGGGTAGCCCACACACAGGGCTGCAGGGGCAAGTGCCGTTAGTAGTAGCGAGTGGTAGCAGCAGCTCCTGTGAAAGCTACCCGCACTGTTACACACAGAGCGGGATGGGTGGCCAGCACCACCACGCCCGGCCGCCTTTGTCTCTCCCCAGTGCGAGGCAACCGGGCAGCGCAACCACCACCAAAGACAAAGCTCCCCCAGGTAGCCTCTAGCAGGGCTGCAGGGGGTAAGTGCTGATACACAGACAAAGCTCCCCCAGGTAGCCTCTAGCAGGGCTGTAGGGGGCAAGTGCTGAGACACAAGACAAAGCTCACCCAGGTAGCCTCTAGCAGGGCTGCAGGGGGCAAGTGCTGAGACACAGACAAAGCTCCCCCAGGTAGCCTCTAGCAGGGCTGTAGGGGGAAAGTGCTGATACACTGACAAAGCTCCCCCAGGTAGCCTCTAGCAGGGCTGCAGGGGGCAAGTGCTGAGACACAGACAAAGCTCCCCCAGGTAGCCTCTAGCAGGGCTGTAGGGGGCAAGTGCTGAGACACGGACAAAGCTCCCCCAGGTAGCCTCTAGCAGGGCTGTAGGGGGCAAGTGCTGAGACACAGGCAAAGCACCCCCAGGTAGCCTCTAGCAGGGCTGCAGGGGGCAAGTGCTGAGACAAAGCTCCCCCAGGTAGCCTCTAGCAGGGCCGTAGAGGGCAAGTGCTGAGACACAAAGCTCCCCCAGGTAGCCTCTAGCAGGGCTGCAGGGGGCAAGTGCTGAGACACAAAGCTCCCCCAGGTAGCCTCTAGCAGGGCTGCAGGGGGCAAGTGCTGAGACACAGACAAAGCTCCCCCAGGTAGCCTCTAGCAGGGCTGTAGGGGGCAAGTGCTGAGACACAGACAAAGCTCCCCCAGGTAGCCTCTAGCAGGGCTGTAGGGGGCAAGTGCTGAGACACAAAGCTCCCCCAGGTAGCCTCTAGCAGGGCTGTAGGGGGCAAGTGCTGAGACACAGACAAAGCTCCCCCAGGTAGCCTCTAGCAGGGCTGTAGGGGGCAAGTGCTGAGACACAGACAAAGCTCCCCCAGGTAGCCTCTAGCAGGGCTGTAGGGGGCAAGTGCTGAGACACTGACAAAGCTCCCCCAGGTAGCCTCTAGCAGGGCTGCAGGGGGAAAGTGCTGAGACACAGACAAAGCTCCCCCAGGTAGCCTCTAGCAGGGCTGTAGGGGCAAGTGCTGAGACACAGACAAAGCTCCCCCCAGGTAGCCTCTAGCAGCGCTGTAGGGGCAAGTGCTGAGACACAGACAAAGCTCCCCCCAGGTAGCCTCTAGCAGGGCTGTAGGGGCAAGTGCTGAGACACAAAGCTCCCCCAGGTAGCCTCTAGCAGGGCTGCAGGGGGAAAGTGCTGAGACACAGACAAAGCTCCCCCAGGTAGCCTCTAGCAGGGCTGTAGGGGCAAGTGCTGAGACACAGACAAAGCTCCCCCAGGTAGCCTCTAGCAGGGCTGCAGGGGGCAAGTGCTGAGACACAGACAAAGCACCCCCAGGTAGCCTCTAGCAGGGCTGTAGGGGGCAAGTGCTGAGACTCCCCCAGGTAGCCTCTAGCAGGGCTGTAGGGGGCAAGTGCTGAGACACAGACAAAGCTCCCCCAGGTAGCCTCTAGCAGGGCTGCAGGGGGCAAGTGCTGAGACACAGACAAAGCTCCCCCAGGTAGCCTCTAGCAGGGCTGTAGGGGGCAAGTGCTGAGACACAGACAAAGCTCCCCCAGGTAGCCTCTAGCAGGGCTGCAGGGGGCAAGTGCTGAGACACAGACAAAGCTCCCCCAGGTAGCCTCTAGCAGGGCTGTAGGGGGGCAAGTGCTGAGACACAGACAAAGCTCCCCCAGGTAGCCTCTAGCAGGGCTGTAGGGGGGCAAGTGCTGAGACACAGACAAAGCTCCCCCAGGTAGCCTCTAGCAGGGCTGTAGGGGGGCAAGTGCTGAGACACAGACAAAGCTCCCCCAGGTAGCCTCTAGCAGGGCTGCAGGGGGCAAGTGCTGAGACACAGACAAAGCTCCCCCAGGTAGCCTCTAGCAGGGCTGCAGGGGGCAAGTGCTGAGACACAGACAAAGCTCCCCCAGGTAGCCTCTAGCAGGGCTGCAGGGGCAAGTGCTGAGACACGGACAAAGCTCCCCCAGGTAGCCTCTAGCAGGGCTGTAGGGGGGCAAGTGCTGAGACACAGACAAAGCTCCCCCAGGTAGCCTCTAGCAGGGCTGTAGGGGCAAGTGCTGAGACACAGACAAAGCTCCCCCACAAACAACCACAACAACAACCACGACCATTCTCGACCCCACCACCACCACCATCAACACGAAACAAAGCGAGCGAACGAAGGCAATCGACGAAGTTGAAATCGTCAAAGGAGAGGCGAGCGGCTGTTTTGTTTTTGTGTTTGTTAATTTAAAAAAAAAAACAATTTAAACAACAACAACAAAAACAACTCACGACGCTAACTAGGCCGAAGCCCGAGGCTTGCGGCCTAGTCGGGCGAGCTGGATGGGCGGGCGTCTCTCGCTCGCTCGACTTCCACCTCGGGCGAAGCGAAACTCCGCCGAGCAGCGAAGAGGTGGAGCGAGTGAGGAGGAGGAGGAGAAGGAGGGGAGGAGGAGGAGGAGGTTGGGGAACGGGGAGCTGAGAGTGGCGCCTCAGGGGAGAGACGTTTCCTCAGGAGCCCCGGACAAGAGATTCCGCCATTGCTGCTACTGGTGAGGGGGCGGGGCGAGGGGGGGGGAGGGGCGAGGAGTGGGGGGGGGGCGTGGCCGGTGGATAAAGTGAGGCGGGGGCCGTTGAGGAAGTGGGCGTGGCGGGGCAGTGGAAGGGGGCGGGGCGGTAGAGAGGAGTGGGCGCTGGGGGGGGGGGGCGCTTGAGAAAGTGGGCGGGGGCGGTGGGAAAAAAGTGGGCGTGGCGAAGGAGCAGTCGGCGGTAGGGGGCGGGGACGGTTGAGAAGGTGGGCGGGGGCGGTGGAGAAAAGGGGGCGAACGAGGGGAGGGGGCGGCTTAGTGGGCGGGGCGGTGGAGGGGGCGGGGCGGTTGGGAGAGAAGGCGGGGCGAGGAGCAGAGTCATGCGGGAGGGGGGGTGGTGCGGTGGGGGAAGGTGCGGGGGAGGGGCGGGGCCAGGATTTAGGGGGCGGTGTCAAAGAGGAGGGGGCGTGGATAAGTTTTAAAATCCCGACCACCTCACCCCTGCCACCTCACCCTTACCACTCCACCCCTACCACTCCACCCCTGCCACCTCCACCCCTACCACCTCACCCTTACCACTCCACCCTTGCCACCTCACCCCTACCACTCCACCCCTGCCACTCCACCCCTACCACTCCACCCCTACCACTCCACCCTTACCACTCCACCCCTGCCACTCCACCCCTGCCACCCCACCCCTGCCACCTCACCCTTACCACTCCACCCTTGCCACCTCACCCCTACCACTCCACCCCTGCCACTCCACCCCTGCCACTCCACCCCTACCACTCCACCCTTACCACTCCACCCCTGCCACTCCACCCCTGCCACTCCACCCCTGCCACCCCACCCCTGCCACCTCACCCTTACCACTCCACCCTTGCCACCTCACCCCTACCACTCCACCCCTGCCACTCCACCCCTACCACTCCACCCCTACCACTCCACCCTTACCACTCCACCCCTGCCACTCCACCCCTGCCACCCCACCCCTGCCACCTCACCCCTGCCACTCCACCCCTGCCACCCCACCCTTGCCACCCCACCCCTGCCACCTCACCCCTCCCACTCCACCCCTGCCACCCCACCCCTGCCACTCCACCCCTGCCACTCCACCCCTACCACTCCACCCCTGCCACCCCACCCCTACCACTCCACCCCTGCCACCCCACCCATACCACTCCACCCCTACCACTGCACCCCTACCACTCCACCCCTACCACCCCACCCCTGCCACTCCACCCTTACCACTCCACCCCTGCCACCCCACCCCTACCACTCCACCCCTGCCACCTCACCCCTACCACTCCACCCCTGCCACTCCACCCCTGCCACCCCACCCCTGCCACCTCACCCCTGCCACTCCACCCCTGCCACCCCACCCTTGCCACCCCACCCCTCCCACCCCACCCCTACCACTCCACCCCTGCCACTCCACCCCTGCCACTCCACCCCTGCCACTCCACCCCTACCACTCCACCCCTGCCACCCCACCCCTACCACTCCACCCCTGCCACCCCACCCATACCACTCCACCCCTACCACTGCACCCCCACCACTCCACCCCTACCACCCCACCCCTGCCACTCCACCCTTACCACTCCACCCCTGCCACTCCACCCTTACCACTCCACCCCTGCCACCTCACCCCTACCACTCCACCCCTGCCACTCCACCCCTGCCACCCCACCCCTACCACTCCACCCCTACCACCCCACCCCTACCACCCCACCCCTACCACTCCACCCCTGCCACCCCACCCCTACCACTCCACCCCTACCACTCCACCCCTGCCACCCCACCCCTGCCACTCCACCCCTACCACTCCACCCTTACCACTCCACCCCTACCACCCCACCCCTACCACCCCTACCACTCCACCCCTGCCACTCCACCCCTGCCACTCCACCCCTACCACTCCACCCCTACCACCCCACCCATACCACTCCACCCCTGCCACTCCACCCCTACCACTCCACCCCTACCACTCCACCCCTACCACTCCACCCATACCACTCCACCCCTGCCACTCCACCCCTACCACTCCACCCCTACCACTCCACCCCTACCACTCCACCCCTACCACCTCACCCCTGCCACTCCACCCCTGCCACTCCACCCCTACCACTCCACCCCTGCCACTCCACCCTTACCACTCCACCCCTACCACTCCACCCCTGCCACTCCATCCCTACCACCCCACCCCTACCACTCCACCCTTGCCACTCCACCCCTGCCACTCCACCCCTACCACCCCACCCCTACCACCACTGCCACTCCACCCCTACCACTCCACCCCTACCACTCCACCCCTGCCACTCCACCCCTGCCACCCCTACCACTCCACCCCTACCACCCCACCCATACCACCCCTACCAATCCACCCCTACCACCCCACCCCTACCACCCCTGCCACTCCACCCCTACCACTCCACCCCTACCACTCCACCCCTGCCACTCCACCCCTGCCACTCCACCCCTGCCACCCCTACCACTCCCCCCCTACCCCCCCACCCCTACCACCCCTGCCACTCCACCCCTACCACTCCACCCCTACCACTCCACCCCTGCCACTCCACCCCTACCACCCCACCCCTACCACCCCTACCACTCCACCCCTACCACTCCACCCCTACCACTCCACCCCTACCACTCCACCCCTACCACTCCACCCCTACCACTCCACCCCTGCCACTCCACCCCTACCACTCCACCCCTGCCACTCCACCCTTACCACTCCACCCTTACCACTCCACCCCTGCCACCCCATCCCTACCACCCCACCCCTACCACTCCACCCTTGCCACTCCACCCCTGCCACTCCACCCCTACCACCCCACCCCTACCACCCCTGCCACTCCACCCCTACCACTCCACCCCTACCACTCCACCCCTGCCACTCCACCCCTGCCACCCCTACCACTCCACCCCTACCACCCCACCCATACCAACCCTGCCAATCCACCCCTACCACCCCACCCCTACCACCCCTGCCACTCCACCCCTACCACTCCACCCCTACCACTCCACCCCTGCCACTCCACCCCTGCCACTCCACCCCTGCCACCCCTACCACTCCACCCCTACCACCCCACCCCTACCACCCCTGCCACTCCACCCCTACCACTCCACCCCTACCACTCCACCCCTGCCACTCCACCCCTACCACCCCACCCCTACCACCCCTGCCACTCCACCCCTACCACTCCACCCCTACCACTCCACCCCTGCCACTCCACCCCTGCCACCCCTACCACTCCACCCCTGCCACTCCACCCCTGCCACTCCACCCCTACCACTCCACCCATACCGCTCCTTCGAATAATATTTTAAACCCAAGAAACCCATTCAATCGTGATACCTAAGAAACGCACGCACCGTGATCACGTGACCACCCCCCCCAACTTCTTCCGCCCCCCCCCGCGTCCCCCCCGTTACTGCTTCCTGCCCCCCTCTACCTCCCCCCCAACTTCTTCCGGCCCACCCCCCATGTTTTCCTGCCCCTTCCCCCCCTACTATTTCCGGCCCCGCCTCTCCGACCTCCACCACTACCACGTGCTGATGCCGTGTTCTTAGTGGCGGTAGTGGTGGTTGTGGTGGTGGTGGTTGTGGTGGTGGTTGTAGTGGTGGTGGTGGTTGTGGTGGTGGTTGTGGTGGTGGTTGTAGTGGTGGTGGTGGTTGTGGTGGTGCTTGTGGTGGTAGTGGTGGTAGTGGTTGTGGTGGTGGTTGTGGTGGTGGTGGTGGTGGTAGTGGTGGTTGTGGTGGTGGTGGTTGTGGTGGTGGTGGTGGTGGTTGTTGTGGTGGTGGTGGTTGTGGTGGTGGTGGTGGTGGTTGTGGTGGTAGTGGTGGTTGTGGTGGTTGTGGTGGTGGTGGTTGTGGTGGTGGTGCTGGTTGTGGTGGTGGTTGTGGTGGTGGTGGTGGTTGTGGTGGTGGTTGTGGTGGTGGTGGTAGTGGTGGTGGTGAATCCATGGGGTCCCGGCCAGGAGAACGTGGAGTAGCCGAGCGGCTCGTAATGGGCGAGCAGAGGGAGGACGCCCCGCACTGTGAGCACGGTGAGTGCCAGGCTATGTGTCCCTTGATGTGAGTATGTGTCTGTGTGTGTGTGTGTCTGTGTGTGTGTCTGTGTGTGTGTCTGTGTGTGTCTCTGTGTGTGTGTCTGTGTGTGTCTCTGTGTGTGTGTCTGTGTGTGTCTGTGTGTGTGTCTCTGTGTGTCTGTGTGTGTGTATGTGTCTGTGTGTGTATGTGTCTGTGTGTGTATGTGTCTGTGTGTGTATGTGTCTGTGTGTGTGTCTGTGTGTGTATGTGTCTGTATGTGTGTGTATGTGTCTGTGTGTGTGTATGGGGGCAGTCGCCCTCCAACAACAACGGAGGGCGGAGGAGCGACGCTCACAACAACGAGCAGAGCTCCGGGTGGCTAAAGCACAGCCGGTTGGCACAGTAGGGGGCACAGGTGGTGCATCAGCCAGTCATCTCAGTCAGTCGACCCGTGGCACCTGGGTATGCCCCGTGACCTCCTGCCAGCGGGCGTTCGACACTTCACGTGGCCTCAGGCTGCACATAGCCTGGCACAAGCGTCGTGGTGACGTCACCGCCACTTAGTGGCGAATGGCGGTTGTTGTTTGTGTGTGTCTTTGTGTAGTGTAGTAGTGTAGTGTATAGTGTAGTAGTGTATAGTGTAGTGGTAGTGTAGTAGTGTATAGTGTAGTAGTGTAGCAGTGTATAGTGTAGTAGTGTATAGTGTAGTGGAGTAGTGTGTAGTGTAGTGTGTAGTATAGTAGTGTATAGTGTAGTGTATAGAATAGTAGTGTATAGTGTAGTGTATAGAATAGTAGTGTATTGTGTAGTGTAGTGTATAGTGTAGTGTAGTAGTGTATAGTGTAGTGTATAGTGTAGTGTATAGTGTAGTGTATAGTGCAGTGTAGTAGTGGTTAGTGTATAGTATAGTAGTGTATAGTGTAGTGTATAGAATAGTAGTGTATTGTGTAGTGTAGTAGTGTATAGTGTAGTGTAGTAGTGTATAGTGTAGTGTAGTAGTGTATAGTGTTGTA